ACTAATATGTACATTATGATGACTATTTCACCTAGAAGTTACTTCAAAATTCTTGGATAGGTGGTACTGACTTCTAATGATATGTCTGTCTATCCTCAGCCAGTGTTGTTGAGAGTACTCAGGTCATCCAATCTAGTTGAGTCCATGGGAAATTTGGAGGGAATCTCAGTAAATTAAAGAATCTCAGTTTTGAAAGGGATACTTGGATCATCTAGTTCAACTCTCAGTATTCTAACTGGAAATACTTAGGTCAATTATCTAATATTTCCTTTTCATTTCTGAGTATGAATTTTGAATCTTGATCATCAAGTATTGACACCAATTCTGTCTTCCTCCTTTGGCAATCTTAAATAATTTTTAATTCTAACTTCGGACACCCTTAAAGATGCTTTCAAATTATTTTTGACCACATTTCTAGCAAGTAAAAGTTTATCTTCCAATAGAACTTATAGAATACAGTTGTAAAATATGTGAAGCAATAATATAACTAAAAGGATAAATAGACATATCCACAATTTTAGTTGGAGACTTCAACACCCCTCTCTCAACTGTGGATAGAACGATTGAACAGAACGTCAGAAAAGATATAGAAGTGATCTACAGAAGTAGCAGGATTGGAAAAGTTTTTTTAAAAAAGAAAAGATATGGAAGTGATGATTTCACACACATATGAAGAACTGACATTTTAGAAATCACCTTTGGACTTTTAGAAATATTTGATTTTCTAGCTATTGCCTGAATGTTATTTTGACTTCCAAAAGATCTCACAGGTCGTGCACAGTGACTCATGCCTGTAATCCCAGCACTTTGGAAGGGCAAAGCAGGTGGATCACCTGAGGTCAGAAGTTCAAGACCAGCCTGGCCAACATGGTGAAACCTCATCTCTACTAAAAGTACAAAACTAGCCAGGCGTGGTGGCATACACCTATAGTCCCAGCTACTTAGGAGCCTGAGGCAGAAGAATCACTTGAACCCAGGAGATAAAGGTTGCAGTGAGCCGATATTGTGCCACTGCACTCCAGTCTGGGTGACAGAGCGAGAGTCCATCCCAGAAAAAAAAAGATCTCAAAAATTTGCCTTAGTCTTGTTCTTAGCAATGTTCTTAGTGCCTTAGATTTATTCATCTATTCAGTCATTCAACAAATACTAACGCCTACTATAATCAAGCCATTGCTTGGGTGTTACAATTAATTTTATTGTTTTTGAAATGTTTAATAAGTAAATTCTATATAGAAGAAACTATTTACAAGAGTATATAGTATAAATAAAATGAACTATTTTTGAAAAGTTGTAGGACTATATTAGTCTGATCAAGCTACCATAACAAAATACCACAGACTGGGTAGTTTAAACAACAGAAATGTATCTTCTTACCGTTCTGAAAACTGAGAATCCAAGTCCAAGGTTTTAGCAGGCTGATGTCTTGTGAGGGCTCCTCTTTGGTTTAAAGACAGTCCTTCTTACTGTATCCTCACATAGCCTATCCTCTGAGTGCACGCAGAGAGAGAGAGATCTCTTCTTCTTATAAGGCCATCAATCCTATCAGATTAGGGCCGCACATTAATGATATCTTTTAACCTTAAAACCCATCTCTAAACATAGTCACACTGGAGGTTAGGGCTTCAACACACAAATTTGGAAGAGGACACAATTTAGCCCATAACAAGGACTAAATCAGTCAGCAAGCATCCTTTACTTCTTTCAGAGGTTCTTCTCTGGAGAGAATTATGGGACTATAGTTCTCACCCAGCACCCTGTTGTTATATGTAAGAAAAAAACAAAATTTGGAGAGAGAAAATGGCTTTCCTGAAGATCACAGAGTAAATGGGAACAGAGACAGTAGCAAAAACCAAGTCTTCAGTGCACTGTCCTTTTGGTCTGGCCTAGGATCAGAGAGTTACTGCTCCACAGCCTACAATGAAGCTGCAGCTGGCTTTAATAGATGTTTCTACCATGCACTCCATGGACTCTTCCTATTAATCCTCTGCTCAAATCTCCCTCCTCACACTTACCAAAATATCACATCAGAGCTCCCAACCGAAATCTCTGCTTTCTCTTGTGAGTACTGAGTTTATTAGAACCACCTTGGGGATTTTATTATCCTTCATGATACAGGCCCAGTACGATCTGAATATAGACTCTGCATAATCTTCTGCCATCAGGGCCAACAGATAAATGACTCCTCTCCATATACCATCTCTGTCATTTGGTGGGGATCATTTTTTGCATTAGAAAAGGTTCATCAAGGTCGTTGCTTCTTCCAGATTGTGGGTATTGAAGGTATGCTCCCCTCAATATGAAATGTAGTTGCATTTTCATCCACCACTCCAGGCTCTCTTCTCATGACTTGAGGGCTAATGTGCTACAGAAGACCTTGAAAAATGACCAGCTGAACTGGTCAACCTACCATTCTCTCTGACTCAGTCTTTTCCACTCAAAGAAAACAAAGCCCTTCTCTGAGGGCCAGGACTTTGTTTCTACTTGCAACAGGTTTGTTTGTTCGTTTGTTTGTTTTCTCTGAGACAGAGTCTCACTCTGTTGCTCAAGCTGGAGTGCAATGGTGAGGTCTTGGGTCACTGCAACCTCCACCTCCTGGGTTCAGATGATTCTCCTGCCTCAGCCTCCCAAGTAGCTGGAATTATAGGTGCACACCACCACACCCAGCTAATTTTTGTATTTTTAGTAGAGATGGGGTTTCACTATGTTGGCCAGGCTTGTCTCAAACTCCTGACCTCGTGATCTACCCGCCTTGGCCTCCCAAAATGCTGTGATTACAAACGTAAGCCACCACCCCTGGCCTTACCACACGTATTTTAACGTCAGGCAGATGTACAATGGTATCATCCCAGTACAACAAACCAGGCAGGAAATCCCCAGATACTGGGATTTCTCGTTCTTTCTTTCTTTCTTTCTTTCTCTCTCTCTCTCTCTCTCTCTCTCCCCCCTCTTTCTTTCCCGTTGCTCTTTCTTCCTTTTTCTTGGTCACTTTTTTCCTTAGATTTGTAAATCCTTAGACTTGTACTAATTAATCATTCTTGCTATTTAGTAACTGTCATTGTCACTGCCACATATGGCCCAAGATGCCAGAATTTAGTTGATTAATCAGTTGGTTGGTTGGTTGGTTGGTTGGTTGGTTGACTGGGTGGACTTTTCTGAGTGTGATGCTTGGTTCATCAATACAAGAATCACAGAACCTCTGGATTGGGTGTGCTGATTCTTAAATCCTAGCTGCACATTAGAAGAACTTTTATAAAATATCTATGTCTGGGCCCTACCTTCACAGATTCTGATTTAATTTGGTCTTGGTCTCAAAGGCTGTCCATGTGATTCTCATGGGTGGCCAGGATTGAGAATCTCTGGATAGAGCTAAAAGGTTACCCAGGCAACCATTGATCTGATACTTAAATCCCTTCTACTGGGAAATCCAGAAAGATGACTCTCTCTGGATTTTCTTTCTGAAACTAGGATTCTGGGTATTATAGTCTTCCTAACAATGTTCCTGGGTATAAATACTCTGCTCTGTTACTATAGAAGGAAGCAGCAGGTAATGGTTAGTGGTAGACCAGAACTTCCCCTAAAAAATCCAGCAGCGCTTAGCTGTGGCACTTCCTGATGTCAGGGAAATATCCTCCTAGGTCAGTGGTTCTCAACTGGGAGAAAATTTCCCCCCAAATGATGTTTGGCAATGTCTGGAGACATTTTTGGTTGTTACAACCTGGTGGAATGCCACTGGAGCCTGGTGGAGGCAGGCCATGGATGATGCTAAACATCCCACAATGCACAGAACACCTCCCCACAACAAAGAATTATTTGGTGCAAACTGTCAATAGTGCCAAGGTTGAGAAACCATTTCCTAGATCCTTGCCCTCAGGTCCCCCTATTACACCCCTAAGAGATAACATCCTTAATGAAATTAGTCCTAAAGCATTTCCTTCTTTCTGAAGCATGATTTCAGCACTGTTTCCCAAATCAACATTTTACATCCTTTTTCAGTATCTTGGAATGTAACCATCCTGCTTTGCTTTTAAGAAATGAAGGCTGCTGCCTGTTTATGTCAGAGAGGCAGAGTAATCCCAGGGCTGCCTTTTCCACTTGCTGTTTCCTTTCCCATCTGGCTCCCTCCCTGAAATACAGAATGAGCTGAGCCCTATGACCTGATGGAGGTCCTGCCATGCCCACCTTGACCAGGTGCTGCAGCCAGTGGAGCTAGTCCTCAGGGTGCAGGTCACTCCATGAAACGTGGCAGCTGGGCTTATCAGCTGTGAGCCTGGCTAAGTCAGGCCTGCTGCCAAGTTGATTAATAAGCGCTGGGCTGACACTTCAAGAAGGGCCTAAACCTGCTGATTTTCCTCCCCTCTTCCTTAGATCATTTCATTATTAAATTAAAGATTGTTGTGATTTAAACTGAACTGTCAGGCAGCCTAGGGACAAACATGGGGTTTGGTGAAGCAACTGAACCTGGTACTGCATTTACCAAATCAGATCTCAGCTGGGTGCTCTTTCTTTCTCTTAAAAAAATAATTTAGAACTCTAAGGACTTGAAGTAGAAGTAGAACCTTCCCCTGCAGTGTCAGGAGCCCACACAGAGAGGCTGGCATGACAGGAAAGGGACCTGATTATAAATAGCATGAAAAGCAGCATCAGTCAAAACTCACTGATGTGCCTGAGCAAAATGTTAAAAGAAACAAATAGCTTCTAAAAGAGGAAGCAATGGTTTTCTTTTGTTTTTATAATTTAAAGTGCTAAGGAACAAAAGCAGTTTATATTCATATAGTTTTAAACACACACAAGCGCATGTGCACGTGCACAAATAACATACACACTAACAGATTCCCTTTAAGGAAATGATGGATAATCATTTTAAAATAACAAAATCACAAGTAGAGCCTCACAGAGGGGGTAGCTGTCCTTTCTTTTCTATGTAATTGATGCTATTTATTTAGAAGGTCTATGGTTTACCCTTATGAAGTAATTTTTCTGTACGTGTATTTTTTTTCCAGCTTAGATGGAAACCATTTGAGATTCCAAAAGCATCTCAGAAGAAAGTAGACTTTGTGAGTGTAAGTCAGTCCCATCCACACCCTTCCTACTGCTCTCCTCTCTTCTGTGGTGAGTGAGCCAACCATTTGCAGGCTGAATGCCAAGCATAAGCAGCCCTATCAGGAGGCAGCAGAGACAAAACCACCTGCGTATGCTTTGGGGGCTGGCGGAGCGATGTCTTACTTACAGAAACCATATGGCCCCTGACACCAAAGGGTATTCATGAACTATTTATATCTCAGAAAGGTCAATGGCAATTGAACATTTTCCTACTTAAGCTCCTTTCTTTTGGCTAGAATGGGGGCTTTTAATCTTTTTGCTCGCTTTGATAGTCTGATGATGTCTTTGTTTATGAATATATAAAATAAATTATATAATATTACAAAGAAGCTAATGATATTGAAATATAATGATAAAAATACTATTAAAAACAAATTTGATTTGATTTATCGTCATTCATATGCTTTCTTGTTAATGTGCTAAATCATAATATCTATGGAAAACATCTAATAATTATGGTATGAGCATAAATATATTTTGAGGAATCTATAACGACTATAATGATTTTTATCACTGATAAAGTTATAGGCACCTCTAATACCACTGTAATTTGTTGCCTACATTCATGTTAGTTGAAGGAAATGATAAATTTCACTCAGAGATTAGCAGAAGTAAATATAATAAAATATTTCCCATCCAAGTTCATGATCTCCCTGAAGTAGATGCTTGGGCTAGAATGGCGTCAATTCAGCATGGCAACTCTAGTTAGTACAATGCTGATTGGAAGCTCTGTTTGGTAGTTATAGGTCCCGCAGTATTGGAATAACTGCCCAGAGCAAGGAGTATCTGGGGGAGAGGAGAAAGGAGCTCTAAGGAAGTGGGACTCAAAGAGACCAGTGGAGGGTTCTGCAGACCAGCCTCAGCTCATGGCTTACTTAGGGACAGGCCAAGTGCCCAGCCACAGGACAAATTGTTAGAAACATCTTGAAGTTCTCATCTTTATTAAATGCTCCAAACCCTGTGTAGACTCACTTAAATACACCCTAAACTTACAAATTGACTTAAAATACAAAATGATACCCCCATCTCTTTTCTTGTGTGAATTGTAGCTATCTGGAGGAGCAGAGCTCCCTTCTTTTGGCTTTCTATCTGCAGGTTTGGAGCTGAGGGCTATTTTGAGAAGACCCACGTGTTAAGGTTTCTTGCACTGTGGATCATCTGGTCACACAGCAGAGAGAATTACACAGTCTGTCAGAATGCAGTCCTCTGCCCTGTTCCAGAGAGATTAGGCTGACCCTATTCATAAGCAGAGGGCTGCCCATAGTGGAGTGTACTTGAGGGGCATTAACTGGTCCCTGATGCTGCAACCTTCCTCCCCAAGCCTCCTAGATGCCTGATGGTACCTCCAACAGAATCTCTTCTTCCAGTTGATGTCAAGCATCAAATTGATAAAATACCAAGTAATGAACTGATGCTCTGTAAGTTCTTCTGATACAGCCACTGAGACAATCCAGATTTAGGCCATGGCTGGAGACTAGGGTAAACCACAAACTACCAAACATGAGTCAGTAATTCAGGCTCCTCAGAGGCTGCCTGGATTCCAAATGCCCCACCGGTCCCAAAGGGAAGACCCTAGTAGAAATGTACCTCATGACTCTCAGGGACCAGCGGAAGGGCTGCCTCTTGGGCATCGTTCACATTAACCTTCCCCTCTTCTGTGGCTCTCTCCCAGGGCCTGCACACCTTGTGTGGAGCTGGAGACATAAAGTCTAACAATGGGCTTGCTATCCACATTTTCCTCTGCAATACCTCCATGGAGAACAGGTAAGTGGCTCAGTTCTAGGGCAGGACATGCCCATCTTCTGAGGGCTGTTGGCCAGAAGGCAAACTCCAGGTTTCACTCTTCTGAAGTCACATATGCACATACATAGTTATTTTTGTTATTGGTTTTTTTCTCAAGGCAATATTGATATATATTTATTGACAATGATGATCAATGAGACAAAAGGCATTTATCTTGACTGATATCCGTGATATAAACAAGAACATCATATAACAATGTAAACAGAAAAGGGAGGACGGAGCCCTGGAATGCAGGAGTAGATCGAAAGGCATTTTGACTTTGAGTCCAAATATCCTTTTGTTGTTGTTGTTTAATATTTCAAGGATTTTTCAGAGCCAAATATGAGTGACCAATGGACACAGCCGTGAGGAGATCCTGAGAACATGTACCCAAGATGATTGGGCTACGGCTTGGTTTTATACATTTTAGGGAGGCATAAGACATCAATCTACACATATAAGGTGTACATCAGATCCAAACTGTGGTGTTTTGTTTTGTTTTGTTTTGTTTTGAGACAGAGTCTTTCTCTGTCACCCAGGCTGGAGTGCAGTGGCACGATCTCTGCTCCCTGCAAGCTCCGCCTTCCGGGTTCACGCCATTCTCCTGCCTCAGCCTCCCGAGTAGCTGGGACTTCAGGCGCCCGCCACCACGCCCGGCTAATTTTTTTGTATTTTTAGTAGAGAGGGGGTTTCACTGTGTTAGCCAGGATGGTCTCTATCTTCTGACCTTGTGATCCGCCTGCCTCGGCCTCCCAAAGTGCTGGGATTACAAGAGTGAGCCACCGCGCCCGGCCCAACCTGTGGTTTTTATCTCAGTAGAAAAGTAATAGCAGATTTAAAGCAGGCAAAAAAGAAAACAGAGAAATAGAGAACTTAGAAACTCTGTAGTTGCAGGTTGACCTTTGGGCTCTGAATGATACAATTTTCCCATCGGTTTAAAATGTGCACAACAGACTGTAATAGGTAACCAGCTGGAGTACTAGAAACCCTGGCATGCCCTTGAACTTTTCCATTTTATGCAAACACTTGCAAGTAGAGGCACCTTTCTCCTTGTCTTTCCTCATTCTTAGATTATTTGTGTACCCTGTTTTTTTTTTTTTTTTTGGAACTGAGCTGTGGCCTAGGGGTTTTTGGGTGGTGGACTGGTGTACTGTTGGTAGGCAGGACTCCACAGTGTTTCACTGCTGAGTCGTCTCCACCCTCTTAGCTGTCTCAGTTTCTCTCTCCAGAGATCTAGCACCTCTGACAGGCCTCAAAATGCCGAGTGGTCAGCTCTTATACGCGTTTCCGGGACAAATCTTTTTAAACTATTTTGCTGGGGGGTTCCCTGTAGGGCCACTGCACATCACAGGGGATGAATCCCCCAGACACTGACTGCAACTCAGTCCCTAGTCACCCAGGGTGCCTTTCAGCTGGGAGGAACAAAATGCCCTTTCTCTTCAGAGCTGAGGAGCTCAGTCTCTCATTTATGTACAAAAATGACAGTCACGCGAATGCGCAGGCAAGCCAGTTGTGCTAAATTTTGGGAGAAGAAACAATGGAGAAGACCATTTAGAATGCACCTCCAAACTGGAAATCAAACATGGTACCCAAAAGGGGGTCATTCTTGTTGTCTTTAGAAAAAGACAATGGAGGCTGGGCACAGTGACTCACGCCTGTAATCCCAGCACTTTGAGAGGCTGAGGTGGGCGGATCACGAGGTCAGGAGCTTGAGACCAGCTTGGCCAACATAGTGAAACCCCGTCTCTACTAAAAAATACAAAAAATTAGCCAGGCGTGGTGGTGGGCGCCTGTAATCCCAGCTACTCAGGAGGCTGAGGAAGGAGAATTGCTTGAACCTGGGAGGCGGAGGTTGCAGTGAGCCAAGATCACACCATTGCACTCCAGGCCGGACAGTGTGAGACTCCATCTCAAAAAAGAAGAAGAAGAAGAAAGAAGAAAGAAGAAAGAAGACAGAAGAAAGAAGAAAGAAGAAGAAAAATGCAATGGAGAAAATCCTTTAGAATGCACCTGTGAACTAGAATTAGGAACCTAAATGACAACTTCCTAGGAGGAAAAAATCAAGAACTGTCAACGAAACAGGGCTCAGGAGGACTTAGTTCCATCAGAGGAGAAGCCCAAAGTTGAAGGCGCTTTCAATGGGTCCCTGCTGGTACCTTAGGTCTGAGTTCAGGCAACTCCTTCAGGGTTCTGAATCTTCTCTGAGGCCCAATTTGTCCAGGTGCCAAATTATTGTCGACAAAATTAGTCAAACTATTAATATGTAAAATATTTGAATTGATGTATTCTGAGCCAAATATGAGTGACCAGTGACCCATGACCCAGCCCTCAGGAGATCCTGAGAACATGTGCCTTTGAATATCCTTAATTTCTAAGATTCCCCAGGGCTGTTCTTGAGTCCCAGGTCACACTGTGTGAGTTTCCTTTAGGACCACCTGTTGGTAGCAGGCTACCCGACTTTGGCTTCAGCTGATAGTTCTGTGTAAGCTTAAAATTCCTAAGTAGAGGAGCTTATATACTGGCTTTGCAAAACAAAGTATGCAAATGGCATTCCTGCCTTATTATACACTACCTCTGGAACTGGACCATTTGTGTCCAAAGCCCAATGGCGATTTGTGAGCCATGAATCAGGGACAAGATCACAGCCCTATGACAAGGCTCTGGAGGCCTCTCTTTGGGTCAAATTTCGTATCAGCCCACCTCCACTCTCTCCACTTGAGCCACACTGGGTTCATTCACTTCTTTCAACCTGCCACGTGCCCTCCTCCTTCTAAGCATTTGCACTTGCTGTTCCTTCTGCCTAGAACATTCTTTCCTTTCTCCAAACCCTCACCTAGATAACACCTTCAGACCTCAGGTCAAATGTGTCCCTTCTTTGAAGAAGCCTTTGCTGATTCTTCAAACTAACCAAGTCCCTATTCTTTCATTCCCTTGAACTTGATTTTCACAGGGTCATTACTGTCTGCAGTGATATTATTCTGTAATTATTTGATTGCTCTCTGACTCCCCACTAGACTCTAAGTTCCACAGGGGCAGAGCCTGGGTCATTTTGCTCCCCATTTTATACCCAGCTCTTAGCTTGGTACATAGGCACTAAACAATGATTTGTGTTATGAAGTAATTTGTCTAGATAATGTTAGAAATGAAAATCACAAGAATTACTCTATATATTTCAGATGCTTTTACAATTCAGATGGGGACTTCTTGATTGGTGAGTTCTGAAGACTTCAGACCTCCTCACTGTTAATTGACCCCTAACTACAAACTGCTTTCTAATTTTATGCACATTATTTTCCTTCGTTCTCCAATCTCTTATTTCATTTAGTGCAATCCAGAGACTGAGGTCTAGAGGCCACAGGTGGTCTGGAAAAGATTTCTAGTGTACCTCAAAGCTCCTATTCTATTTCCTTGTCTGTCTTTGCCCTTCCCTTCTGGACCTTTCTGATGTGGGAGACCTGGGCAGCTGAAAAGAAATGAAGACTAATACTAATAGGATTAACTTATTAAGGTAACTGTATTTGCCTTCAAACTCACTCAGTAAAAGCCCATTTATCATTAGTAACTGCAATTTAAATTCAAATTTTCATGAGACCATCTAAAATGTAAAGTCTATCAGATATTGTTCTGGTCTGCCTATTATATTTGATGGTTTTTTTAGTATCAATATTTTGGAATCAACATTTTGGTGTATGTGTTACACAAGCAAACGTCAGCCTTTCACTGGAACTATCAGAAATGGGTGATTTTCCATCCTATTTCTGCTACCCCTTTTTGGCCATGTCACAAAATTGTGCATATACAAGTTTCTTGCCTGGTGACCAAAAAAAGCAGAGTCATTGTTTTATTCACATTCTTCTAGATAGGAAAATAACTAATCTAAGTTGTCAGAATTTATCTTTTTCCCCAAGAGACTCAAGAAAGCTCTTTTCATTTGGAATGAAAAAGCAAATGCAGCCTTAAGCCTTTCCTGTTCATGAAATGGTTATCACACCAAAAGAATTGCTCACCACTGCCCTGTCTTTTTTTGTTCAGTTCCCCAGAAAGGGAACCTTCTCATTTACACTGAGTTTGGCAAGATGCTTGTACAGCCCAATGAGATCTGCGTCATTCAGGTTGGTGATGTGTCCCCTTCTCTTCCCTGCCTCTCACTAATTTGGGAGCAGTCAGATGTTTCAGCTGCTGCTATTTCCAACTCTAAAATTTCTCTGTCATGTCTGGGCAACGAGAAGGGAATTTGAGTTATGCAGAAGGTTCCATGTGCTGAAGAGTAAGCAAGCTTGGGTGCCTGCTTTGTTTTAATATAGCACATAATTCTAAAACAAAGACCACTTGTCACTGCACTTTCCTAAATATTTACCTACACTCTGGATAAGGCCCTGTTCCCACTAATGGCAGTAGAGGCAGTGAAGGTGGACATTTTTTTTTAATGTGGCTAAATCAGGCTTCCGTTATCTCTGGACCCAATGAGAGGGTAGACTAGAATTGGCTTGGATCAATATGTGACTAGGATTTAAGTTTTTCTTTTTAACTCATGTTTGCTCTGGTAACCTCCCAAGCAGCTCAACAAACCAGAGCTTTACTTTTGCATGTGGGACATGCTATGGCTCTGGGCAGCTTCTTTATAACTACAGCTGTGATTTCAGAAGGCACACCAGTGTCTGCTTTCCATTCCAGAGAGGAATGCGGTTCAGCATAGATGTCTTTGAGGAGACCAGGGGCTACCTCTTGGAGGTCTACGGTGTCCACTTTGAGTTACCTGACCTTGGACCAATTGGTAAATCTTCACTGCAAGCCTCTACGCCTCGCTTGAGATGTAGGACACAGATAATTGCATGAAAGTTAAACATCCTTCTCCCTTCGCTGTCTCACTCAAACTTCCACTTTTCTCTCTAGACAAATTCTTCTCTAGACCAAGGGTCTGCCAGAAAATATATGCAGAACAGAAAGCAACCCAAACCAATCTATTATAAATCTCTCTAGAATAGTATATAGGCATTGGAGATAAAGGCAGCATGTAATAGATTTCTGGTTGCATAGTGTGTACAGGAATGAATATAGAAGTTTGGGTTACTGTGGGCTAGGGTCGCCAGAAACAGCTCCAGAGAAGAGATGAGAATTTGACTAATTCTTTATGAAAAGTTGAGGAGAGTAAAGAGGAAAGGGAACAGCTTTGCAAAAGCATACAAGTGAGAATGAGCTTTGTGATTAAGAGGAAGATCTTTTTGTTAAGTCAGTGAGATTTATAATGGATTGGTTTGGGTTGCTTTTTGTTTTGTATATTGTAAGACTATAAAGTAGGAAGGCCATAAAAACTCCCTGGGCTGTATTCCTATGGAAAGGAGGGATGGACTGGGTGACACATAGTCTACGAACCTCTGTGTACACCCCACCAAATCCACACACTTAGCAGTCAAAAAAGTACATAACTCAGTGCTATGAAGGATCTAGAAACCACACTCCAGGAGGCAGATCAAAACATTCAAAAGTGAACCAAGGTCCCCCCAGCCCCCATTCTTCTGGCAAGCTGGAGGAAGTGAAAATGTTAGGAGGGGTTGTTCTCAAACTGTCTCTTGGAGTGAAAGGAGTGACTGGGAAAATTGGCCCTTGGTTTCCTCTTTGGTCACATCTCCCAGTTCTTCCCTTCCTTGTCAACAGCTTTTTAGAGCAAACAGGGACAGGCCAGTGTGTGCCTTCTGGTCAACTCCCCTGAGGAATCCAAATATGCAGAGGAAGGTGGGAGGCAGCAAGAGGCAGCTGGAGCCGTGGTGGGCCGTCTGTCATCCTGTTCACCGCCCACTCTTCCCACTCTGCTCTGGCTTCCTGCTGCTCTACAGTCAGCATAGCCTCCAGGTTCCATGGAACATGTACCCTCTGGAAAATATCTATAATTTGCTAACCAGCCGGGGGCTTATTTTTTTTTTAACCCCAGGAGCTGGAAATGGTAAAACACTCCTCAGCTCGCTCCTCTCAGAGTTGCATTGTTTTTGCATGTACGTTTTTCATGTTTGCTCTTTTGATTTATTTTCTTTCTCTGGAGGAAACACTCACTCCTAACCAAAGGTAAGCAGGCAGGTCCTAAATACTTCTTCCTGAGTGGCAGACGGAGTTTTTCAGGCTGGAGAGCAGTTTTCAGACTTGGAATCTGAATTCTGTCTAAGGAGCAGAGGCATGCCTCAGGCAACAGCGCGTAACCCTTCCTATCTGAGATCAAGGACTGTCATGAGTTCTAGAGTATTCAGGCGTTCCTTTAAAAGAAAAAGTTCTAGAGTTCTATCAGATATTCCCTTTTCCTCTTTTCAGGTCTCTTTCTCTTTTCCCTTCCCCTCACCTGTAGTGATAAGATAATGCATATAAGGTGGTTTTGTTAACCATAGTCACTCCACAACCTTAGAAGGTAATGCTGGTTTTTGTGAATTTTTTTCTGACCAGATTCCTTGGGTCTTCCTAAAAGGTACCAGACTGGAAATCCAGTGAATCTTTAAGCAATGAAAGCGATTTGTGGAGTGGCTCTTGACATGAAAGAAAGCCTTTCTCTTCATGCAACCATGGGCGTCTTTCCTATGTTTTGGAAGTTTCTAAAAGACTTTTGGGTTACTGTGTTCTAGGGGCCAATGGCTTGGCCAATCCTCGTGATTTCTTGATACCCGTTGCCTGGTATGAGGATCGCCAAGTACCAGGTGGTTACACTGTCATTAATAAATACCAGGGCAAGCTGTTTGCTGCCAAACAGGTAAAGTAAGAGGGTTGGCAGGCAGGGGAGGAAATGAAGGGTGATTGAGCACTTACTGATTGCCAAAGCGAGTGTTAGAAACTTTACATATATCCTTTCATTGTTATCATACCACTATGGCACTACAGATAAAGCAAATAGTTCTAGTAGTCAATGATACCTTCATAGTCATGAAAAAGGCCAGTAATGATAAATAATTTACCAACTTCACAGTAGGTGGCAGAACCAGCATTTGAACCCATATCTATCGGACTCCAAAGGCTGTGCCCTTTCTACTCACCAAGCAATGAAAATCTTAGCAATATGTGGGTCTCTGTAAATGGTATGGAAAGCATAATATATGGGCAGCATAATATGTTCTGAAAAGGAAATGCGTTAACAGATCAACCAAGATTTATACTCTCCAATACCACCCTATTTCAAATACAAGCAATTCTACAAAACAAGTAGAATTCAGTTAATTAGCTTGGCTTGGTTTGTACCACCAGGCTGGCAAATTCAGGACACAAGCAAAGGCACAGATCTTAATAAATAATAATAACAACAATGTAATATGCACTCTATAACATATTATGAAATATACTGAATATATATTAGAATAAAATAATCATATAATAAGAAGAACCCAAAGATCTCTTCTGTTTAGCATTATTTGTTTGCTTCATTTTGTCTATTTGACTTATTCCTTATGTTTTCCAAGGTATGTTATTCTTCTCAGGCAACATCTAGAGATAATGCCAACCAGCTGAGGCCAACCAGTTTGGCACTTAAAACTAACCCTTGAAGCAGACACATTGTTATTTTCATATTCTCTGGGTCAGGGTCTCTCAAAATTCCAGGGCTATTTGCATCAGAAACCCTCAAGGAGGCTTGTTTAAAATACAGATCCTAGGCCGGGCGTGGTGGCTCACCCCTGTAATCCCAGCACTTTGGGAGGCCGAAGCAGATGGATCATCTGAGGTCGGGAGTTCAACACTAGCCTGGCCAACATGGCAAAACCCCGTCTCTACTAAAAATACAAAAATTAGCCAGACGTGGTGGTGCACACCTGTAATCCCAGCTACTTGGGAGGCCGAGGCAGGAGAATCGCTTGAACCCAGGAGGCAGAGGTTGCAGTGAGCCAAGATCATGCCATTGCACTCCAGCCTGGGCAACAGAGCAAGACTCCCTCTCAAAAAAAAAAAAAAATGCAGATCCTCAGATATTACTCTAGCCTTGCAAAAAATGATAAGCTCTGGAGATGGGACATGGAAACCTACATTCATTTTAAGCATGTTCCCCAGATCATTGTTTACATACAGTTGTTAAAGAACCACAATTCTAGAACGAGCCAGTATCTCCTCCAGAAAGATTTGCACTTTCCAGGTAGACCCTGTGCTGGTTATTCTCTGTGTGAGTCCCCACTGATCCATTCTCCCTCTTTGCCATGATCTGTGTCCTGGAAGGTTAACTGTATCACCCGGGCTCTCTAGCCAGCTGGCTTCTGTTGGGTTCAACCCACAGGAAACTGCAAGGCAGGAGGAAAGACAAATTGGGAGATTTCTTCCCCTGCTTCCTCCCTGTTTAGGACTGTGTTTCTGGCAGTAGCTGCATCCTCCATATGACCTCAGTTCCTGTTGGACAGCCCTAGTGGTATGCTGGAGCTGATTCATAGTGACTTGCAAAAGCTGATATGCACACTTCTGTCCAACTCTGTATTCAGTGATGTCATATTGGTAGGTAGAAAATCATCATGGTGAGACTATATCCACCTTAGAAATCAGTAAACACTATATGTCAATGCTTTATATATTTTTTCAGAGTGCTAGTTGTTAAATATTTACCAGCACACCACTGGGTAGCACCCTTCTTTATAGTCCTAGCATTTGCTGAACTACTATAACAATATTTCCCTCCTTATTCCACATGCTCAGGAATGGCAGTGTCTTCCCACTATTGCTAGGCTCAGATACCTCAACACTTCTAGTCATTCCAGTTAACCCTAACCATGCCTCTATGAGTAGTGCCTTCATTAAAATCTTTAGAGCTTTCAGACCCATAGGTACAGAAGGGACAACCTTCCTATAGCAGAACACTGATCCTCTTCTACCCCAGGACAGGACCAAGAAATATTATGTTAGGATTGCTCTGAAATCTCAAGTCCTTGGAGTGGGAACTTTTAGAGGCCTTCTCCCCTCTCCTGGACTCACCAACCCAGGCACTGTGTCTATTGCAAGTTCCTCTAGGCTGAAATTACCTGGAGAACTATCACAGCAGGTACTCTCTGCTCCAGGAAACAGAAGGTAGCCCAGATTGTTTGAGAATTGCTGACATCCACAGATTCTCACAGTTAGGTTAAAAATTGTTGAAAAGGCACTACTTGGAGAATGTGCTGTGCTTCTGCTGCATTTGTGATCAGAAGGCAGCTGCAGCTTGTGAACCAGAAAAATAGGGTTAGTGGCTAAGTAGAGGGTGTGTGGAGCAACCACAAAATGATTCAGGGTTGTACTTCTCCCAAAGGATAGTAAAATTAAATCAAGAACAAAATCAAATCAAAAGAAGAGAGAGGTATGCCCAGTACATACTGTGGGATCACAGTTACAAAAGCATTTGATGGTAAAATCATCCTTTCCTGCTTTTTGTGATTAGGATGTCTCCCCATTCAATGTTGTGGCCTGGCACGGGAATTATACACCCTACAAGTACAACCTGAAGAATTTCATGGTTATCAACTCAGTGGCCTTTGACCATGCAGTAAGTCTGAACCCTGTAGGGGCATTGGGGTGAGGCAACCCCTTGGTGGGAGGGGTCCACAGTAGACTCCTGACATTTCCAGAGTCATCATTGGAAGCCCTAGATATAGTCATTTATCTTATGGTGAAGGAGTAAATAACATAGCTAGTAGGGGAGCCAAGCCAGATACTCAACATTCCCTGTGAACACAGCTTTGTTCTCTACAGAGCATTCGTGATAGTCTGACTTGTGTTTGCCAAACTAAGTGGATAAACAATTTCTTTGTGGAAAATTTATCCTCCAAAACAACCAAGTGGTAATGTCAGTGGTAGAATGAGGAGAAAGGAACTTTGTGAATTTGAAGAAGTCTCTGACCTCACAACTCTCAAGAGTCTCCTCTATGATCTCTGATTTCTCACCCCAGTGCCTTCACTCCTGGCTGTATTTGGCAGTGACAGAACGAACAGCCCACTTCTAAAGTTACTCATAACGTTCAGTGCTTGAGTTTAAAAAAGAAATTCTAGAGCATGAACTTGGTCATATTTTTCAGTCAGTTAGGGGGCCACAAATAAGTGTCTGGTCTACAGTGCAGGCTCCTAAGACCCTACATTCTTAATAAAGTGATGGTTCTGAGATTGGGGGGTGGGGGGCAGTTCATTCTGCAGCCCACTTCATAAGAGATGAACTTAACCCACAGGCTGGAAGGATGATTAGAGCAGAAGTCAGAGACTCAGAGGCAAAAGGATCATCCTGAGCTAGTTCAGTTTATCTCTGGGGGGACAAAACCACCTCTCCGAACAGCAGCAACTCTTAATAAAAGCAAAGGGGAAAAGAAAAGTGAGATATCAGACCCCAAACAAGCAGCATGAGAAAGGATCCCGAGACACTGATAAAGCTTGATTTGCTGCTTCACTACCTTTTTTGCTTTACCACCTTTGCTGCTTCACTACCTTTGCTACTTCACCACCTTTGCTGCTTCACTACCTTTGCTTGAATAGTTTAGACCATTTCCCACGACAGATGCAGAAATGTCAGCTCTCACAGCAATAAGGGTTGGGTTTATTTTTATTTGAATTTACACAGGTGCAATCTTCTCTGTATTGCTGCTATAATTATTTTTCCAAAATTCAGTTCTGATCATGCTACCACTGTACTCATTAGAAAGCCTTTGCAAGTTTCCCATGGCTTAGGATTAAGTCTGAGCTCTGAAGCGTGGTGTTTGATGCTCTTCACCATCTGTCCCTGGACTCATTTTCCAGTATCACCTCTTGCCCCTCTCCCTTCTGTCAATGCACTGGGGTTTTAGCCTTATCTCCTCTTAACAAAATCTCTGTGCACTTTCATGTGTTTTCTGTGATTAAAATGTCATTTCCCTTCCTTCCCACTTCCTTAGTCCTTCCTCCCTCCCTCCCTTTTTCCCCCATCCCCCCCACCTTCCTTCCTTCCTTTCTTTTTTTTATTTTACTTTTATTTTAGATTCAAGGGTACATGTGTAGGTTTCTCCGCTCTCTCTCTTTCAAACTTTTATTTTAGGTTCAAGGGTACATGTGCTCCTTCCTTCTTTCCCTCCTTCCTTCCCTTCTCTCTCTCTCTCTTTCTCTCTCTCTCTCTTTCTCTCTCTCTCTTTTTCTTTCTTTCTGTTCATTCTTGAATACTTACCTCAAATGTCACCTCCTCTTTGAAGCCCTCTTTGACCCTTTCAGGTAGAATTAGCTGCCCAACCGCCACCCCCCAGTTAATGCTAAAGAAGCAGGGAATCTATTCCCATGATCTTTGAATCTCCAGACTCTTGCATGGCATCTGAAAGGGAACATGATTGTTGATTTCAATTAAATTGAATCTCAATCTTTTCACTAAAGAATTGTGAAGATTTTTCAAAAGTATAATCTCGTCCCTCAACCTATTCCATCTTACGCTACCACTATGAAGACTAGTGATGTAAATGATGTGTTTTAGACCTGAAAGTCAAACAAAGGTAGGAAAGCAATGAACCACTTCTCAGACTTTTCTGCCAGTGGATACAATCTGGAATCTCTGTGTTCTCCCAAAGAGGAGCACACCTACACCAAAACTTGGATTTTGCTTTATTTCTATTTCCACTTCGCTCTGAGCATCCCTTCTGCTGCACATCTCAGCTCTAGTCAACTTGACCTGAGATTGAGAAGCAGGCACTATTGGTTCTGAGACCCACGGGGTAATAGGTTGCATGTAATGTGGGCTCAGCAGGGTGAAAAAGTAGTTCAGAATCCTTTCAGCTGGTGTTAATTCATTTTGCCTCAAGCACAGCAAGAGGAAAAAGTCATATGAGTGATTACTGCACCTTGATGACAAGCCCAGACTTCTGTTGTTTGATCAGAAATTAGGCGGTCCCTTTGCAGCAACATGGATGCAGCTGGAAGCCATAACCCTAAGCAAATTAATGCATGAATAGAAGACCAAATACTGCATGTTCTCACTTATAAGTCAGAGCTAAACATTGAGCACCCATGGACATAAACATGAGAAAAATAGACACTGGAGACTACTAAAAGGGGGAGGGTGGAAAAACTACCTATTGGATATTATGCCCACTACCTGAGTGATGGGATCCTGTATTAGTCCATTTTCATACTGCTATGAAGAAATACCTGAGACTGGGTACTTTATTAAAAAAAAAAGGGGGTTTAATGTATCCACAATTCCACATGGCTGGGGGGACCTCACAATCATGGCAGAAGGCGAAGGAGGAGCAAAGCCGTGTCTTGTGTGGCAGCAATCAAGACAGCATGTGTAGGGGAACTGCCCTTTATAAAACCATCGGATCTTGTGAAACTTATTCACTATCACGAGAACAGCACAGGAAAACCCACCCCCACGATTCAATTACTTCCCATTGGGTCCTTCTCACAACATGTGGGGATTATGGAAACTACAATTCAGGATGATATTTGGGTGGGGTCACAGCCAAACCATATCAGATCCCTACCCCAAACCTCAGCATCACACAATATACCTGTGTAACAAACCTGCACATGTACTCCTGTATCTAAAATAAAAGTTGAAATTAAAAGTTGAATAAAAATAAATAAAAAGAAATTAGCATGTCACTTGCAAACACCTTCATGTATGCATGCAATATGTGTCATTGTCCAGTCACCTCCCTTGCATCGTGCGTTCAGTCTCTCCTTGTGTATTCACAGGACCCATCCATTTTCACAGTGTTGACTGCCAAGTCTGTCCGCCCTGGAGTGGCCATCGCTGATTTTGTCATCTTCCCACCTCGATGGGGGGTTGCTGATAAGACCTTCAGGCCTCCTTATTACCATAGTAAGTCTCTATTTTACCAAGCCACATTTGCAAGCCAAAGAGACAACAAAGCAGTGAGCACTACCCATTGGGAATAATGCCTGGGTTGTTTCTGGACACCTACCCTGGCTTGAATTCAGGATCCTGCCTCACAAGGCCTAGTGCTGATCCCCAAGCTTTAATCTCTTTAAGGGATGGTAATTGTGTTAGTCCATTCTTCATTGCTATAAAGAATACCTGAGGCTACTTAATTTATAATGAAAAGAGGTTCATTTGGCTCATGGTTATGCAGGCTATACAAGCTGCATGGTGCTGGCATCTGCTTCTAATGAGGCCTCAGGAAACACAATCATAGTGGCAGGCAAGGGGGGAGCTGGTGTATCACATGAGGAGAGCAAGCAAGAGAGAAAAGAGGAAGTCCCAGCCTCTTTTGAGCAGCCAAACCTCATGTGAACTCATAGAGTGAGAACTTACTCATAACCGTCATGACGGCATCAAGTCATTTATGAGGTATCTGCCTCCATTACCCAAACACCTCCCACCAGGCCCCAGCTCCAACACTGGAGATCACATTTCAACATGAGAGTTGGAGGGAACGTACATCCAAATTATATCAATAGTGATGCATTGACTCTGAGGCTGGTTCCCGGTTTTTCTGTCCCTGTAAGAGGCAGAAAGGCTGGTAAAGTTTAGAAGCCTTGTTAGAAAGGCTTCTAAACAAGTTTCCTCACATTTTAGATGTTTCGTTTTGGGGAATGCTGGGGAAATTGTTAGTTAGTCTGTTGTTTTGGGAAAGTTCATCACCTAAGTCTAGTTCAGAGAACCAGAGAAAGAAAAAGAGAGAGAGAGAAAAACAGAAATGTGCATTCTCCAATTATTTTGGCAGGGCAAAGCAGTCTGCAGCCTACATTAGGGAATAGACTCTATTCTGGAAAGCGTTTCTACAGAATATTTGTTGCCTAGTACAAGACCTAACAAGTCTACTATTTTTATTTTATTAATATTATTATTCTTAGCACCTAATAGTTATTGGCCAATTTCTATGGCCCTGTTACAAGTTTTTTAAAAAACTAACTCATGAAGTGTTTATAATAATTGTAAGAGACAAGTAGTATTATTGTCCCCCCCGCCCCTTTTTTCAGAAAATTAAACTGACACAAGAGGGATTAAGTAACTCTCTCAAGGACTCACAGCAAGTTAAGTGTAGAGTCAGGATTTAATTGCAGGCTGTCTGACTCCAGAGCAAACACTCATGACCACTAACTGGTATGGCTAGCATAGTGCCTGATATATAGCATGCTACTAATAAATATTTATTTAATAAGTGAATGTGTCAACAAGAATAAATAAAGTATTTCATGGCTGTACTTAATGAGGTTGACATTTTTAATTGTGCAATAGCTAGCTGAAAATCCAATCAAAGGTCAGTGTGCAATTCTACTTCCTGGAGTGTGCATTTTTTTGTACATAGAGTTCTGGGAAGACTCTAAGAGGCATTCCACCTGGAACATTCTAGAAAACAAATTCCTTTCTTTAGTAAACTCCAGGGCCTTCTGTTTATATTAGGTCCCTCTTTATATATACCAGTTCCCAGGTGTCAGGGCTCAACAGAAGACAACAGTGCACTGAATGGCCAATTTAGCTATTTTATAGCATCAGGAATGAAGGCCCTCAGGACGGACGAAGGCCACTCCATGGTCAAATGCCAGCATCCCCTTTTCAGATAACACCATCATGGTAGAGAAAAGAAAACAATCGGTTACCACTGCAAAGACACCAGCTATTTTGTGAATAGCATCATAAGTCCCTTCTAAAAAATGTCAAGCCTTAGTAGGACTACTAACTTAGTAGGACTACTAACTTAGGACTACTTAGTAGTCCTTAGTAGGACTCTAACTTTTCTCCTCCTGGAAGTTAGTGACCTACAGGCCTGTTGTCAAGGAGAGAAAATTGCCCTGGCTTATAGTCTGTACTTCACATGCTACTCCTTAATAATTCACTGTTTCACTCTTGTTCTTTTATTGAGGTTACTCTGTGTGCCTGTAGTGGTTCTTACATTTACCATGTGTCAGAGTCAGCTGGAAGGTTTATTAAAACACAGATTATTGGGCTCCATCCTCAGAATTTCTGCTTCAGTAGGTCTGGGATAGGACCTAAGAATCTGCATTTTTAACAAGTTCCCAAGTGATGCTGAATCTGCCTTTTTTTTTTTTTTTTTTTTTTTTTTGAGACAGGGTCTCGCTCTGTCACCCAGGCTGGAGTGCAAGTTGTACAGTCTCAGCTCACTGCAACCTCCACTCGCCAGGCTCAAGTGATCCTCCCTGCTCAGTCTCCTGAGTAGCTTGGACCACAGGTGTGCACCATCACAGCTGGCTTTTTTTTTTTTTTTTTTTTTTTTTTTTTTTT